TGACTGTTTATCGTACATCAGGAGAGCAGGTTGTGCAAGAGAGCCGCCGGCTGTAAACCTCTGGGTAAAATATCCCCTGAAAGAGAAAAAAGGATTTCCCTCTGCGGAGAATCAGAGCTCATCTGTCACTTCAGGATTCTGATTAACAACCAGGACTCTTTTCTTTTTGATGTTGGAAGGTTCTCGTGTTAACAGTGTGTGTGCGAGAGGTTAAATCGCTGTTTTTGTAAATGGAGTCTGGTTTGTAGAGAATAAAAGGTAACAGCTCCTGTCTGTGAGAAAGGTAAAGCGGAGAATAGGTTCTAAATATAACATTCACTATAGCGGATATAGTGACTAAAATAAATCACTATCTACTGTAGTGAAACACTGAACCTGGCGCAGCGAGTAGGAAGGGGCCCGTGTCCCCGTAGACCCTCCTCCCAGCACCCCCTTATCTCCCACCGCCAGGACACTGTCCCACCCGGGGGGGGGGGGGGGGACACAGCCCTCGGCTGGCGATTACTCCCCGACGGGTAAAAATAACCACTCGGACCTGCAGACGGGCGACTCCTCGTTTCGAGAGTTTTCCGCGTCTCACGCGCCAGAAAAACACAAGCACGTTGGCGGGGTCGCGACGGACACGAGGGCGATAAACGGAGAGGGCGCCCGCGTGCTCCGCCTCATCCGTATTCTCTCGTCAACATTTGAGTGTTGTGAAACCTTCTGCGGTCGGGCCGGGTTTAATTTACCCCTATGGGGAACAAGACGGGAGTAAAAATAGCAGAGAAGGTGGCACCGTTGTTTGGGACGCCCCCCCCCCTCCCTATCCCCACCCCCCTCCGCCGCCCGCTAGGGAAGACTTCAACATACACGAATAATAAAGCAGTAGTATAGTAGCAGTAGCAGTAGTAGTAGTATAGGTGAGCAGTCTCACCTGGCTGCCGGCCCCAGTCCCACGTCTTGATGATGGAGAGGTGCGCCGACGTCGACGTCCCCTCCTCCTCTTTCTTCTCTTTGTCGTTGGGCTCATCTTTCTTCGGCGCTCCAAAGCAGTCGGTGCAATCCTCTGAAATGATCGGGGAGGAAAGTGACATTCCGCTCAAGCATCGAGGACGAGATGGCGGCGGCGACGACGACCACCCCCCCCGTCACAGACCACACAGAGCGCGGCGGCGGCGTACCTGGGTGAGCGGACTCCTCCCCGTTGAACGTGATCTCCTCGTCTTTCACCATTTCGTTCCACATCTCGCAGAGTCCCTCCGGAGAGAAGGCCCGCTGCGGCAGCAAGCGAGCAAACGCACAAATCAGCACCGCACATGTGAAAGAGTCACACTTTGCTCTGATCGCACAGGGTCATCGCACATTCTGATCGTCTTTCTCTGGCAGAAAAGCGCCCACGGGGCTCTAAAGAACGGCATCGTCCACGTGCTTCTCGTCATCTATCCATTCGTTGTCTGAGACGATAAAACCTCAACGTTGAGTCTCCGTTTCCACAGACGGGCTTTTATTTCTCGTTGCTGCATAAAGTCTGTCTGACAAATAAAGCTCAGGCTGCACAGAGACCCCAAACAAACTTCTCCTCCATTAACTAAAGCAACTTAAATGGCACTTTTATAAAAGGTTCCAACATTTTCAGCCATTTGGGGGCGAAAGGAAAGAAAACACTGCTATGAGAAGTTCAAATGTCTGGAGCCAACGCAACTTCCTCCACCTGCAGGAATCTGAAAAACCCGCCGAGAAATCAAACAGCCTCAATCACAGAGAGAGAAACAGCTGCTTTGTTGTCACCGAGGACACGAGTGCTGCAAGTGATCCGGGCCTTCATCCCAGTTGCTTCACTTCACGAAAAAAGAACACTCACAGGAGGAAAGCTGACTCTTTGCTTTCAAGGATCCAACGTCTCGAAAATGTCAAAAACAAGTCAGCTCACAGATGACACCGGACACCTCAGACGGCTCCTACGGCAGGAAAACTCTTTCCCAATTCTAGATTCCAGTCCGGAGCAGACGGCTCCTTTCGTAGGAGGAGACGCTGGATCCTGAGTGCTCATAATTACAACCAACATGGAGATGTTTTCACAACACAGATCCCTTTCTTTCCCTCAATGACTTTCCCCCTAAGTGACTGTAACATTGTGGGCTTTATCTCTTTGCACAACACAGAAAAAAACAATAATCATCCGTGAAAGCGGCCTGAGGCAGTCGGCGGATGAGTGCGAGGTGATCCGTTGTGTCGGGTTCATCCGGCTCTTACCTGCACAGTATTTTGGATGCAATAAACAGCTGCTTCCTACCAGATGCAACACAATCAGACTGAGAACTTTTTAGAAACAAAAAGAGCTTCAAAAAGAAACTGAGAACTACAACGTGCAAAAAATGTGATCTTTCAACAGAAGGAAAGATGGAAAAATAGGGTCAAACTTCTCATCTGAGAAAGCATTTAGTTTTTTTAATACTTTAATATGAAAAACACACCTGCAGGTCTATCTTCAGCCATTTGTCGTGAAACCTCAGCTGAGCGTCGAGGGCAAAAGACGGAGGAGGCATCTTCCCCTCTTCTCCTGGCTGCAGACGCAGCCGACCTGCAGCAGAAAGAGAAGAAGGCGATGAGCACCGTACGACACGTTCCCCGTACGACACGTTCCCCGTACGACACGTTCCCCGTGAGACACGTTCCCCGTACGACACGTTCCCCGTACGACACGTTCCCCGTACGACACGTTCCCCGTGAGACACGTTCCCCGTGAGACACGTTCCCCGTGAGACACGTTCCCCGTGAGACACGTTCCCCATGACACACGTTCCCCATGAGAGACACGTTCCCCATGAGAGACACGTTCCCCATGAGAGACACGTTCCCCATGAGAGACACGTTCCCCATGAGAGACACGTTCCCCATACGACACGTTCCCCATACGACACGTTCCCCATACGACACGTTCACCATGAGACACGTTCACCATGAGACACGTTCACCATGAGACACGTTCACCATGAGACACGTTCACCATACGACACGTTCACCATGAGACACGTTCACCATGAGACACGTTCACCATACGACACGTTCACCATACGACACGTTCACCATGAGACACGTTCCCCATGAGACACGTTCCCCATGAGACACGTTCACCATGAGACACGTTCACCATGAGACACGTTCCCCATGAGACACGTTCCCCATGAGACACGTTCCCCATGAGACACGTTCACCATGAGACACGTTCACCATGAGACACGTTCACCATGAGACACGTTCCCATGAGACACGTTCACCATGAGACACGTTCACCATGTCACGATGACGTAAATCTAACAGCATCGACATTGTAAACACGGATTCTCATGATTTGGGCTCCATGTCGCTCAGTCCTGCGTTATAGGACTCTTATGAAGGAGTGAGGCTCCTTTGCTGCGGACCTGGAAGTTGTCAGATCTAAAACAATCCACTGGGACAACAGATAAATTATGTGAACAAGGAGAAGATGACAATGAATCACACGTCCTTTTCATTTATTAAAGAATAATCTGCGCACACAGAAATGTTTTGGTGCACCAACACAATAGAATGGTTGTAATAATAATAATAATACAAAATAAGAACCAAATGGGGTTAACTTATTTGCTGTGATTAAGTGGTAATCACACAGTCTTTTTCTGATTAAGCCGATTGCCCACTGATGATGAAGCAGATATTCATATATTTGCATTAATAAAAACGAGGCATCGTCGGTCAAACTTCTCCATAGTGTTCACATATACATCAAAGTTTGTACATATTTCTGATAACGCAACGCTCACGTAGACGGCAAAACACCGATTCATTGATTACACACAAATGGAAAGTCTTCATCAACCAGCAATGAATCGTTTCATGTTAAAAGTGTCCCGGGGTACGTTGACTTTATTAGAAAAGGCAGTTTTAAACATATCCGATGAAGCGGACGAAACTAACGTTGCCTCAGATTAGTGAACAATATCACCGCGGTCAACAAACACCATCACCGACATGTAAACACGTCCGCTGTTCACTTCAACGTAAGTAACTAACGTGATCGTTCCATCCACGGCGAGCTGCTCTGGGTGTTTAAAGGAAGGTTACACTAAATACCGTCTGCTCACCTGGATCAACGTGCAACACGCATCCGTCCCCCAACACCGCACGACACCAGCGCCGTGCAACGTTACTTTTGCATTAGCTTGATTCACAAGGCCAAAGAATGTAAAACGTTATCCACAAACGTAACGTCAGTTAGAGTAGCATTCCATGCTAGCAAGGACACGGTCGCCGTTCACCTTCACGTCGAGGTGTTTACCAGGTTTCGATGCCCGTGATGACGGACGCTGGTCCCGGCAGGATAATATCGCGCACACGGACACACACTGACACAGCAGAACTACGCTCGCCGACGCACAACGCAAGGGGAACGTCCACGTTAGCCGCGCGGCTAAAGCTAGCTAGCCCGCGAGCCAGCTAGCGAAGCCGGGGCCACCGACGTGCATCATCACTCGGGCCAACGGTGCCGCGGGCTCCCGGGGCGCGACGCCGAACCCAAAACAAGACGCGATATCCCGGTGGACGTTAGCTACACAGCCGGTGACATGTCACGTCGTTGTAACGTGTTTAATTTACCTGCGGGGTCGTCTCCTCGAGCTATTCTCGTCCGCTCAGCTGCTTCGCCGCCGCATTAACGAGACGCTCGTAATGGACTTGATTGACGGGTCGCCGACTGGGGCACGAGGCTCGGCACCATAGTCGTCACCGGGAGGTTAGTGCAGTTGATCTGCACCGCGGCACCCTGCTGGGGAGGGCTTTCCGACGCGAGGGGACCGCCGCCGAGTTTACGCCCGCCCACTCGTTCCGCCCGGGGTTGCAAAAGGTGCGTTTCTTCGGGATTTCGAGGCGGGACATCGAACCGTCCACCAAGCGGCACAGAGTCCCAGCAAGTCTGGTTTTATTTCCCAGATGTTTTATTTACATGAAGGGTAACATGTTTGATATAGTTTAAGTTATTGATTTCATTATATAGTGCATTTATTTCACCATATAGCTTTAGTTGATTTTTTGTGGAGAGTATTTATTTCACAGATGTTTTATTACAGTGCATACAGTGCATTTATTCACATGTTATATTTAAATGCAGTTACATATTTCATATGGTGTTTGATGTTCATTTAATCATCGATTTCATCATTTCCAATTTACTGTACTTAACATTTCAAAGTCATTAAATCCCGAACATATCCCCTGGAATATTTGTACTATTCCTGTTTTGTATCTTTAACTGTCACATTGGACATCATCATGCTAGTGTCGTGGTTTTCTTTATATACATATATAGATATATTGTAATTATATTTATTTATTATATTCTTTATTTTTTACGCGACCTGCACCGATACTTTTATTTTGACAGTCCTGTCGACGCATGCGCACTATGCGCGTCTCGTTCGGTGACTCCACCCACCGGGTGCTGCCGGGTGCCCGATGCGCAGTGTTTGATGCGCAGTGTCCCGGTGTCGGGTCCAAACTCCTTAAACCGGGCAGCGTACTTATGACAGCATAATAAGTCATTCTAATAGACGGTGAAAATGGCGGCCGAGGCGGGACAGACCAGTGTTTCGTTTCCGGTCTCCGGGGTGGTGATTGCAGTAGTTTCTAGTTGCATCAATGGCTCGACTTTTGTGCTTCAGAAAAAGGGAATATTACGGTCGCGCGACAGAGGTAGACGCGTCCTGCGCGTTATTCAATGTTCTTATTCTCAAATAAACTGCTGTTTGTATGTCCTGAAACTGCGGAGACCAGCGCCTCTGGATGTGAAATACCGAAGCAGGAAATGAAATACCTCTCCGTTAATATTAGTAGTATTATTTATCTCTGTGTTTATTTCTATTTTACTAATTACTTCTATTTACAAGTAATGCTTTTTTAAGCATTAATCAGAGGTTTAGTTTATGATAATTGTTCATGCCGGTTGTTTATTTTATCATATAATTAATTTTACTTTGAAGTAAATATTTATTATATATTATTTTTTAAGCATCAATCTCTAGTTTAAAATTATTGTTTTTATTATTCATTTCTGTTCTTTTTTTATTTCCTTGATTTATTTCTGTATGGCAGCAATATTTTTGTCATTTTTATTGTGAGGCACTTCTTCCTGCAAATAAAAGGTTCTTTATGATTAAATATTGTATATATATTTATGTATTTTATTTGTAGGACTAAAGTTGCTGCTGTGTTCTGTCCTCAGGATGCTCGTACCTCACAGATGTGGTGTGGTGGAGCGGCACACTGGCCAGTGAGTATTGCGCCATCTATCGACTCGGATATTTAATATATCATATTTAATAACTGGACAGCATATATACGGTAAATCTCAGTATTCTGTAATCCAACTATTGTCTCCTATAGTCAAACTGACATAGAGAGAAATAGTTTTTCCAGATAACTTTATTTTTTAAGTCAAAACACAATTTCAGATATTTCTTAAATCCTTTTAAAGTATAAGTGGTTGTTTTAACATTTACAGTAAAAAAACTGGGCTGCACATGAACCCTCAACCAACACCAGAAATCACATTCTGAATTGAGTGCATCGTCTCTTACGTCACGTTACGTCTCCCCAACGTACCTGAAATGTTTTGACACACCTGTTTAATCTCATCAGTGATTATCGGTCAAATTGGGAATTTCCTGGCGTACAACGTGGCCCCGGCCGTGATCGTCACTCCCCTGGGAGCCCTCGGAGTCTTATTTGGGTTAGTCCTGATGTACCGGGACATCGAGCAGCGACTGAACGCTTGATCCTCTCGGGCCGCCATGAATAAGTTGTTGTTGTTGTTGTTGTTTTGCAGCGCCGTTCTGGCCTCGCGGGTCCTCGGGGAGCAGTTAAACATCCTGGGGAAGCTCGGCTGCGTCTTGTGTTGCTGCGGTTCCGTGGTGCTCGTCATGCACGCCCCTAAAGCCGCGGCCGTCACGTCCCGGCTGGAGTTGGAGGCGGGGCTGTCGGACCCAGGTGACCGGATCAACCTTTGTCTGTTTCATTTCATTCGATTTGCTAATGTTTGTGTGCACTGGAACTTTTTCTGGGCTATTGTTTTTTTTATTTGAAATGACGTTTGGCACCATCGCATTGTGTTTATTCTCATGCGCCCGCCCCACAGCCAAACCCCCTCCATATGCAAACGGTTTGAATGAACGTGGCGTGGTTTCCCCCCTGCAGTGTTTGTGGCGTACGGCCTCCTGCTGGTGCTGCTGCTGCTGGTGCTGATCGCGTGGATCGCCCCGGCCCACGGCTCGTCCAACGTCATGGTGTACGTGGCCATTTGTTCCCTCCTGGGAAGCTTCACCGTGCCCAGCAGCAAGGGGCTGGGCCTGGTGGCCCCAGGCGTGCTGGGGGCGGAGCCGGGGGCGCTGCCTCTCTTCCTGGGCCTGCTGGCGACGCTGGCCGTCAGCGTCCTCCTCCAGTTCTTCTTCATCAACAAGGCCCTGGAGAGGTTCAGCTCCAACGTGTTCGAGGCCATCTACTACGTGGCGTTCACGTCCAGCGCGACCGTCGCCTCGGGCCTCCTCTTCAAGGAGTGGACGGCGCTGACGGCGGCGGGGGCGGCGGCCATGCTGTGCGGCCTGACCACGGTGTGCGTCGGCGTCGTTTTACTGCGCATCTCGCAGGAGGCTTCCGTCACGTGGAGGACGACGAAGAAGACGGAGTGACGAGGAGTTCTAACTTTATTTATGCGGCACCTTGAAACCGGACAAAGCAGCAAAAGAGTTGAAGCCGGATAAAACATGAAAACACTCATACGACTAACAGGAGGAATTTAAAAGACTTGAATCTCCTCTCAGATACATGTGGAACATTTCTTAGTTAATATATAACTCACTAACACCACTCAGAATAAAACTGGTTTCCTCTTGAATCATTCTGAGAGCACTTCATTTATCAGCTTCATACGTTTTTATATATTGTGAAAAGCATCAAAGAGGCTTAAAAGGATTGTTTGCTGGATAAATAACAGAATAATTGTGTTGTACTTTCCTCTGAGCTTCAGGCCCTTTTTTCCTCAGACACACTTTTACTTATTCAGTGTTTCCTTGAATAATTCAGTGTAACTTTAGAAGTGGCCTCCTTTAGAAGTGGAGTCAACCCGCGTTTAACTAAATGGACGTGTTTTAAAGCTCATACAGAAAATATAAACTAATAGTTCTGTGGACACTTTGCGTTTCTGTTTGAATGTGAAACCGTCCAAAATGGGATTTAGATTCTGGATTATCCATCTGTATTATAAACAGGTTCACAGGATTTCTACGATTAGTCAGAATTGTTAACATACAAATAAATACAAACTGTATGACAGAAATACAAACATGAAGTGCCTAATATAATAAACATACTAGTCAAATTAAGTAGTAAATTAACAGAAATTTGATTAACTAATGGATGCAATATAAAAAAGTAACATTGGAATATTACTGGCGCCCTAAAAGCATTTTCTTTGCTAGAATGTAAAACGATGAAACTTGAAACACAAAGTTGATTGAAAACGGAATAACAATATATTATGTCCTCATAATATATTGTTAAGAAAATGTACATTCATTCCAAATAATACATGATACAAATGTAGATGAATACCAATTCACACACATAAAAACATGAACGAGGTTTGCGTAATATAAACTCATTTTGCTTGTTCTAACGCGGTCTTCTATTCCTGATCATGTAGTTTATTACTCTGTAACTTAACGCGAGGAATTACTGCAACAAAACGCCTCTGTCTCCACTTCCGGTGCGGATCACCTGTGTGGTTCTGGACCCGCGGAGCTCCGGACCAGCGGCCGCCGCTTCCCTGATAAGCAGCAGAAGAAGCTCGCAGTGCGGCAGTCGCGGAGCGGACAGCGCGGCAGCTATGCGATGGTTAGCCACGGAACCCGGAAGTAGGCTAGCCGTTGGCTAACATTAGCTGCTAACACGTTTGTTCTCGTCGGGGGGGAACCGACCGCCACCTCTCGAACAGGTATTGAACTCCGCGTCGAAACGTCCCGAACCCGGGAAACGGACCGGCGCTCGCGTTCTTCACGTTTTACGTTAACCGACTCGGCCGGCCGGGCCGGCCAGCTAGCTGTCGGGCTAATTCGAGCTAACGCGGCCAACGAGGGGCAGCCTCGCAGTAGAAATGCGGCTGAAGTGATCCACGTTGTACCGCCGCGGAGCCGCCGCGGTGCTGCTTTCCCCGGGGAGGACGCGCTGACGTGCGCCGGTCGGTTGGTCAACAAGCCGGGAGGTCTGCTGCTGGTTCATCGGAAGTTCCCAGCAGCCAAATCCGATCGGGGTTGCTTGTCAATTCCGCCCCAGAGCTACGGAACTAGTTAGCGATGTGTCGTTAGCTCCTGGAGCTAAACGCCTTTAACGTTTAAGGAGCTGGAACTCTTCCAGCTACATTTAATGCATCGTTTATATGTTTCACTGCGATGATCACCGAGTGGGGTTTGTTTGCATATTCAAATTATACCTTTAAAAAAATATATCTTATTTCAATATGGGGCGGGTGTTCCTTTCCATCTTTATATCATGAGTTTTACCCATTATCCTTTTTTATTTTATTTTATTGTATCTGTATTTTTATGATGTGACTGGTATTTCCTTAGTTTTATTCATTACATTTTCTATTTGTATTAATAGTTTAAAATCAAGTGTCATTTTTATGTGTTTTAAGTGTTTTTTAATTTGTATTCTGACATTGGTGACCTTTTCCCTTTTTTAATGCGTTATTACATTTACATTTTTAGAAATTTTCCATCTCGTTATGTGTTTTATTAACTATACATATATTTTTTTACAACTTTTAATGTGTTGCTATTTTAATTGTAAGCAGGCGTTGTTCTCCATATGTTTTTCCATTCAGTCCCAGTTTCCACGTTTCGTTTTTATTGTGGAACATCCGGTTCCGCGTGGCGTCTACTGTGACCTCCCCAGGCGTGTCATGAATTCCTGAGTTCTCGCGTTCGTACTATTGGCCGCTCCTCGGGTCGGCTGCCGCTTCGCTGTGCGGGTTTCCTCCCGCACGTTTAGACGATGGTGTTCCTCTCCCTCACACCTCCGGTGGGTCACCGGAGCCGGATACTCGCCACATACGCACCAGCTGATCACATCTCTGAACCCTTCCCTCAGGCGTCCGGTCCGAGCCGCCCGGCGGTGAACGCGAGTGACCGCGACCACGCGTACAGCCTCGCTATGGGTCAGGACCGGGGCAAGTACGACTTCTACCTCGGCCTGGGGTTGGCCGTCAGCTCCAGCATCTTCATCGGGGGCAGCTTCATCCTCAAGAAGAAAGGACTCCTGCGGCTGGCCAGGAAGGGCTCCACGCGGGCGGGTAAGGCGCATCGCACCTGAGCCACGGCACGCCCTGCTGCCCTTGTGCAACACCAGTCGGCTGATAACGACCTCATTGTGTTTTGTCGTCCTACACGCTCAACTTCCCCATCAGGAAACAAAAGTGGTGCTTTCCATGTGATTCTTTGCAATGAAACTCACCTGATTTGATGACCGCGTCAGAACACACACACACACACACACACGGCCTTTAATGTTTTTATTGAAAGTATTTCATCTGTCTTGTCTGCATATATTCTAGTAAAAGCTTTTTAATTCAGGGTCTGAACTTTGAGTCCGTTCAGCCGACCTTCAGTGCAGCTTCCTGTCCAGCAGCGCCGTGTTTACATACATCAGCTGTTTGCGTGTTATTCAAATAAGTTCAATTCTTTTCTTCTTTTTTTTTCTGCTCTCCAGGCCAAGGTGGCCATGCATATCTAAAGGAATGGCTCTGGTGGGCGGGTTTACTATCAAGTAAGTAACCTCCGTACTTAAAGTGCTGATGAGCAAAAAGCCTTTTTTTAAATGTCTCATTCAGTAAGTTTTAGCGCCACTTGTTCATGTAAAATGCTGCCAAACCACCACATGACTCCCAGGTGCCTTTCGCGCTGCAGATCAACCAAACCCATGTTTGCATTGGTGGCGCCTTTCGCTTTGTACTTGGTACACTTGACCCCCTCCGCCGTGATTCATGCGTCCCCCCCCCCTTCCTAACAGTGGGAGCCGGTGAAGCGGCTAACTTTGCAGCGTACGCCTTTGCTCCGGCGACCCTGGTGACCCCACTGGGAGCACTCAGCGTGCTGGTCAGGTACGTTGAACTCTACTTTACGCTTTATACAATACGTCCATTTCAACCATAAGGATACAAACTTAGACAACTTACAACTTGCTACAGATCACAGCCACTATAAGTACAATTTCCAAGGTCTACAGTTAGTCTGAAGAGGTGTGTCTTTAGTTTGCGGTGGTGAAGATTCGGCTCATTTCGGAGGCAGGACGGCACGCCGCCGGCTCCTTTCTTTCGCGGTTAACAAAGCGTCTGTTCTCTCCGCAGCGCCGTGCTGTCCTCGCACTTCCTGACGGAGCGGCTGAACCTGCACGGGAAGCTGGGCTGCGTGCTCAGCATCCTGGGCTCCACCACCATGGTGATCCACGCGCCGAAGGAGGAGGAGATCAGCAGCCTGGAGCACATGGCCGAGAAGCTGGTGGACCCGGGTGAGCAGCCGACCGGACTCCGGTATCGGTAACTGTGGAAACGAAGCGCCGCCATAAAACGTAAAACGCCGCCTTTCTCCCCCTTTAGGGTTTTTCATCTTCGCCACCCTGGTCATCATCGTGGCGCTCATCTTCATCTTCGTGGTGGCTCCCCGTCACGGTCAGACCAACATCCTGGTCTATATCACCATCTGCTCGGTGATCGGCGCCCTCTCGGTGTCCTGCGTCAAGGGGCTGGGCATCGCCATCAAGGAGGCGGTCGCCGGCCACAGCGTGGCGAGCAACCCGCTGTCGTGGATCCTGCTTCTGGGCCTGGTGGCGTGCGTGAGCACGCAGATCAACTACCTGAACAAGGCCCTGGACATATTCAACACCTCGCTGGTGACGCCCATCTACTACGTGTTCTTCACCACGTCCGTGCTCAGCTGCTCCGCCATCCTGTTCAAGGAGTGGGGTCACATGGGCGCCGCCGACGTCATCGGCACGCTCAGCGGCTTCCTCACCATCATCGTGGGCATCTTCCTGCTGCACGCCTTCAAGGACGTCAGCGTCAGCCTGGCGTCCCTCGCCGTGTCCATGAGGAAGGAGGAGCGTCCGTCCCCCGCCGCCGCCAACGGCACGGCGTCCCACTACGAGCTGCTGCTGCGCGGCGAGTCCCCCGAGGACATGGAGATGGGTCCGCCTTTCGAAAGCGTCTCCAGGAGGAACGGGGCGATGACTTTGTGCGATCATTGAAGTCTTTTTCTTTTAGCTGACCGGCTGCGGCAGTTACGTTTACCTTTAGACAATCAACTGTGTGGGGACGGGGACGGGGACATTGGTGGGACTGGAGACGGACCAGCGGATTGTAATTAACGTTTGATTTGCCTTACTTCTCTCAGACTGACCTGGTCATCAGTTGGAACTTAATTCCTCCGTAGCGCTGTAAATACTGTTGTTTTTAAAAGAAATGTTCCGTTATATCTACATATTCATGCACTGATTACTTTCTATCAATCAATGATGAACGGGTTTAATATATAGACTGGATTTAAAAAGTCACCATGATTGAGTTTTCGTGATACTTGAAAGTTAAAAAAAAAAAAAACATCTTTTGTTGGAATTTGTTCTGAACTTTTCTTTTGTAGCAAAAACACAAAAGCTCTCGATGAACCAACAGATTTGTTACATATTTATTGAATTAAAATGATTAAAACAAGGCACAGTGAATAAATGCTTTTCACGAGTATGAGCGGTTACTTTTTCCTTTAAAATGTTTAGCATGCATGTTGGACAGTAGAAAATGATCCCTCCACCTGTTCTGGTTCCACCACTGCAAACCCTTAAATACTCATCTGATAAAACTAATTCCCCCCCCCACATCTAGAGCGCTCTGCCAGTATAAAACACAATAGTTCATCCCATTTCTGATAAGGCACGTGTGAATACAAAAAGGAGTAATGGAGGCAAACGAGGCCCCGCCGTCTCTTGTTGGTCAGAGCGGCGCAGCAGCAACGTTCGTTCCTCAGCTGCTGGCGAGCGACTGGTGGATCGGAGGCTGGAAGCAGCGGACGTGTTCCACCGGCATGTTCTCTCCGTCTCCGGACTTGAGGTACTTGTTCAGGATGGCGAAGATCTCGTTGTTGAGGACTTGGAATTTGCGGATTCTCTCGACCATCTTCTTCAGGGGCTGCAGGGAAACAAAGTGACAATGTGGTGCAATGTGTAGATCACCGTGTCCCGTTTGAAGCTGCTTCAATAAGTCAAAATACCATCAGAGCCCTTCAATCATCTGAACTTTCTACCAGATTGAGTTGCACTATGGACACGTAAAGAAATCCGATCATTTTAAATCAAGAAGATAGTTAGCGGCCCGCTCACCACGCTCTTGATGACCTCGTCCTTGCCGTCGTGTTTCTGCACCTTCAGGAGGTGGTAGCTGAAGTCCAGGACGTCGAAGCGCCTGTGCTGACCCAGCAGGGAGATGATCATGCAGCCGGCCCAGTGGAGGCCGTCCCCGAAGCACTGCCTGAGGAGACAGAGCGGGTTCTGCGGGTCAAGGCGCCGCTCTGTGTGTGTGTGTGTGCGTGCGTGTGCTGCTGCTTCACTCACTCCACTGTGAACTCATGGGCTCCCACAGGGATGCAGTACACAAACTGCATGGCGCTCCACAGACGGTGGAACTCCACGCACTCGTCCACGTGCATCACGCCGTTGCTGGGCAACGGGCCCCGCCAGATGGGGTCGTCCAGGAAGCCTCGCACGCGCGTCAGGATGACCTCGAACATGGACAGGCCGCAGCACAGCCTCTCTTTGGTCAGCAGGTCGCCCTCGCGAGCGATGGCGATTTGCTGGAAAGGAAAGCGAGAGCTGCATTCTGTGCAGTGACCAACAGGGGGCGACTCTGCTCCCATAGACGTCTATGAGGAAGGACTCTTGATTTATTCCCTCCTCAGTTCTAAGTCTTCGTCAATGCAGTTGATTCTCATTTTGAGTCAAAAAGTCGGGCAGGCTTTAGGGCGGGGCTACACAGTGATTGACAGGTCTCTTGACCCTTGAACCCTTTCGAGATGTGTTTTCATTTGATTAGAGTTCATTTTTACTTTGGGTGACGTCCCGCTTGCCTCGTCCATTCAGGACGGCTCTAAACTCGCGACCTTTGGGTGTTGTAGGACCGGCCGTACCTGAGGAGTCCCAAGACGCTCGATCAGGGGGACCAGGTGCAGGGCGGTGTATTTGGCCTCCAGGCGCTTCATCTTGGCGTCCAGCCGCTCCCCCTCTGCACACAGCGCGGCGAGGACGTGACATTAAACATTTTCTTTAATCACAGACAAACCGTCGGCGTATCCGAACCCCGAGGTAACTCCCCCCGCGAGCCTCACTAGAGAACATATCCACACTTCAGCGGCTTCTCTCCCGCGCTCACCTTTGACGTGGACTCTTGGAAGGATGTTCTGGAAGGGCGCGGCGTGCAGCAGGTCACACACCTCTTCCTGCGACTGGGAGAAGGAGTGAAACCACGAGTCAAACGGCATCCTGCACGGCGCTGAACTGAAGGGGCCGCGCGTTGGCGCCCGAGAGGGGAGCGTACCAGACTCTGCTCGCTCAGCAGACAGAACAGCATGGCGTTGCCCACCTCCCTCAGGTTCTGGAAGCACACCGTCTTCAGCTCGGCGTACTCCACGATGTCCTTCAGCTGGTGGTGAAAGAACTCCAGGATACCTGGACGCAGAACACGGGACATGTCCTCTCAGTGTCTCATTCGGTTAGGATGAAAACGGCTGCTGTGGTGAAAAGCTTCTTATTACACCTTCCAAGATGTGAAAAAAGAAAATCTCAAATCGCTTCAGAACAACACTTCTCGAAAGGATTTCAATACAATGTAATCAAAGTATTGAACATTCTGTTCCATCAGCGTCGCGCTTCGGCGGATCGATCGATCGATCGATCGATCGGTCGGTCTCTGTTACCTGGCGAGCCGTACTCGTGACGGGGGAGTCTGCAGATCTTGGGCATCACCTCCATCAGGGTCTTCACGTACTGCATGATGGTTCCCTGAAGCTGCAGGAGAGACGGAGACCAGTGAGCAGTAATAATAAAAATAAATAACCATCATGAGAGCTGATTAAAATTGAGATCTTTTTGAGAACTTTTTTTTACATGTTACAAATCCAAGGCGGAAGTCATTTGTTTTGGGTTGAATATCATAATTCTAAAGCCTGGTTTTCCTCACAAATGGTGTGTTCAAAGACCGTTGCAAAGTTTTTCTTTTCCATCCACCCGCCTCACTGCAATACTCACCAGGCTTTTGACCACCTTCAGCAGCTCCTCCATCACCACGGCGATGCCCTGGTAGCCCAGCAGGCGGCACATGACCTTGATGTGGGGGGGGCCCACAAAGTTCTTGTAGGTGCTGAATATGCTGCTGTACGCCAGGTTCAAGGTCTGCATGGAGGCGAGAGGAGATGAGGATGATGATGATGCATCAGGGAGTGAGCAGCACTTTCACACGATTAATGTTTGGATATCAAAATCAAAACTTACTTTATATTTTTTATTTTTTATTCTCTCTTGTTCAACCTTTCAGCATTTAACACTACAATCACATCGCCGGCCACCAGGGGGCGCTCAGGTGTTTTCCTTCAGATTTACTGGATCACGCAGCTTCAGCGCAGATTAGAAGAGTAATAAACTGTTTATTACTCGGATCGGCCTGTTGGATTATGGGACATGAAATCAAAGGACTTTGTCCGCAGGGCGGCAGTGGAGAGACACTCACAGCCCGGATTTGAAGATTCGTATTTTTGTTTACTAGTAAACGCATCGATGCGAGCAGCATCATGGGGGCTCATCCTCTGGGGAGCATGAACATCCTGAGACAAACTCATCAGCAGCTGTTCAGAGAGACAAACGCACAGATGGTCTCACCAACTGGACGTCTCGGCGTTTGGATGAACAACAAACGTCCCTCAATTAAACAACAAACTTTTTATTAAAATTGTGTCCACGTCTCCCTTGAAAAATTTAATCTCAATGGGCCTTTCTTGTTTAAATAAATATTTCAAAATTAAAAAAAAGTTTTTTTTATTTATTTGGATGTAAATATTGTGGTTTTGCGGTTTGTTTTTAGTAATCTTTTAGATATGATCATACATTTGATATTTTTAAAATTATTTAATTAAAATTAAAAAAATATATATTAATCATTTATTATATTTAGGTTTAATTAATTTATTTTATTATTAGTTAAATATTTGTATTTATTAATTTAACATCCACCAGTCCAACACATTGGACTCAAAATTAAAATAAAATTAATAATACTATTAAAATAATAAAAAATGATTACTATGCCAAAGTTGTTGTTTTTTTCAATCATAATGACCCATTTGGACGTTTGACTGTTATTGTCAAATCCTCAGTGACAGATTTCAGCTTCCTCTCCCTCCCTTCGCTGCTGCTCTAATCCAGCTACATCCTCTAGTGAGGCAGCAGAGACAAAGACAGACCAATCCGTGTCCCACAGCGGAGACGAAGACAGACGCACAGATCAGTGTCCCGCAGCAGCAGAAGCAGCCTCCAGCGCCTGATCCTCGGGACCGGGACCGGACGTCTCTACGCCCAACGCGCGCTGACTCGGCTCCTCCGGTAAGTCACACTTCTGAAGGGACGACTCATTATTGTCCTCATTAAAAAGCGCTTCACCGAATCAGAAGCAGCTGTGAAAGACGGACTTTTATGAGACGGAACCTCAGTTTCTCTGTTGCGTTTTATCAGAGTGTAAAAATGTCTATTTGAAGATGTGCGTACTTCGAATCCGCCTTAAATCTTCCACCTGGACAGTTAGAATAGAAAGTCTATCTTCTAAGTTTTATTACTCAGAACACCACCCGTCCCGCATGCAGGTGACGGATGAGCGTCCGCATGACGTCGTGATGCTGAACATCTGCGCGCTCGCTGCGTGTCCCTCCTGCTGGGATTATCCTCATGGCAGGATAATTATTATCTTCCTTTCCCTTAATACGCTGCTGTGGGGGGGCGGAGGAAATCCCACCCGAACCACTGTGGGGACCCGACGGTGTCGTAGGTTTGATTGCTGATGCTCCGACTAAATAAGCAAACATTCGTTCAGCCAGAGCCGCCTCACAATTCATGGGACTTAATTCCTCCTCCATTAAGATGTTAAACAGTTAAGTCGAATTTGGTAACAGCTGGTTGCGTCTTATTAAGCATGACCTCTGCTCGCATAAACACACGCGTCTCCTCTCCAGGTTCCCGCGGTGGGAACGCGGCCCCGCGCCCCATGGGGGTCGCGGTCTACAACGTGTCGGCCACCTCGGCGCGGGTGAGCTGGCCCCCGTCCCCCGGCTGCCTGGACACCTTCTACAGCGTCATGTACGACCCCAACTGGAACAGCCTGATGAAGGGCTACAAGCGCAAGAGCTTCCTGCACGAGGAGCGCATCCCCGTCAGCCAGACCAGCGCGCACCTGGCCAACCTGCTGCCCCAGACCGCCTACTTCCTGTGCGTCACGTGCCAGGCGGCCAATCCGGTGCAAGACCAGTGCCAGATGTTCAGCACGCCGGGCGACAGCGGCGAGGCCCACGACCGGGCGGGCTGGGAGCTGGCGGTGGGGGTGTGGCTGACCTGCTGCGCGCTGCTGCTGGTCATCGCCGGCATCCTGCTGTGGGGTTGCCTCCGCGTCTCCTGGCCCCCCGGCGGGGGATTCGGACGCCCGTACGCCACCAGGCGGCCCAGCGAGGACGGCGCCGCCCTGCAGCCGTCCCGCCTCCTCCGCTCGGCGCCGACGGGCGGCCACGTGGGTGCCCAGGAGCACGAGATGAGGGCGCTAAGCCGCCTGGAAACCAGCCGGCGCGATTCCACGGGATTGAGGTCATCGAAGCATTGCTCCGCCCCCTGAGCGCTTTCTAATCCGCTGATGAAACTCGAAGCCCCCTGACTCGCGAAAAAATAAACACTATTCTACTGTGCGGATGCTAATAGACAAGCAGTCTATTTAATTATCAAACACGCAGCGCGATTACTTTTTACCTCCGTGAACTCGATAAAATACGACTTTTGTCAGTAAGGAATCCGAATGTTTTCCTGAGAAACACCGATATCCGATGATATTTTAACACAAAAGTCCTTAAACTGCAGCAAAGGTTCAACCGCCCGATAGCATCTGTTGCCGCTTTATTCCTATTTACCCTGTTTTTAATAAATCATTCCCACTGTGACGCGTTTCCACTTGTAATTATTAATAAATGTTTGAAAAGTGTGAACAAAAGATTGAGATATTTTGCACTTAAATACGTCTTTAGCCTCATTCTTATCAAAGTGACATTTTGAAACCCCGTCCGTCCACGCGACCAACAGGACGTCCTGCGGAGACGTCGAGCCGACCAAACAGCCGGTCGTGGGAGGAGGGAGAGGGTCCTGACCTTTGACCCGTACAGTTACTGCGGCTGGGCGTGGGGCGGCTTGTCCTTCTGGAACTCTGGAGAGAAGGGCAGCACCGTGCGCACGACCGTGGGGGGGGCGAGACAAGAGTTCCATCAGGAGTGAAAGGAGAGCTTCATGGGGCTCCGGGGGGGGGGGGGGGCAGCAGCTCTGCAGCGCACCTGTTGGTGGAGCCGTTGTAGCAGTAGTTGGGCAGGAAGTCGTAGTTGAGCTCCCAGAAGACGTGCAGGGTGATCCGGCCGTAGGGCGCCGACACGTTGTGGTTGGCCTCGCGGAACATGGCGTCCATGCTGTCCAGCGTCAGGAACTTACTGAGGAGCTTGTGAGTCATGCGGTTGATGTCCAGGAGGCCCTCCAGCTCCTTTTCAACCACACACACACACACACACAATGACAAACAGGCCCCAACCGCACGCAACAGCAGATATTGCTGGATTGAAACACGGAGACGCACCATGATGGAGGTGAGGTCCTCGCTCTCGAAGCGGTTGATGGCGAGCTCCAGAGACTTGTAGAGGGCGGCGGAGATCCTCTGCGTGATGAGCCTGTTCAGGTCGATGGAGCGGCCGAGGAGCTGAGGAGCACAGCGCGTCAGTGAGGGGAGGGGGGGAGAGGGGGCGGGGTCAGAGGGACTCGCCGCGCGGCTCACCTGGACGTGGCGCTGCTTCAGCAGCGTCTCGTAGCGGTTGGAGGCGGGCCACGGGATGTTGGCGCCTTGGTTCTTACAGTCGGCCCTCAGACGTTTGTCCAGCAGGAGACTGGAAAAGAGACGAGAAGGAGTCGAGTCACCGGACGGCTCTTTGAGTCCAGAATCTCTGCACGCGGCTCCGCGTCGAGTCACAGTGAATTATTTGGGCCGTTTTAAATGAGACGTGTAGAATAAAACATTTCCGATGAAATATCGCAACTTTGTTTCCGCTGTTTTTACCGGCCCCCTTTGTCACACGTGGGGTGTTCAAGGACCTCCGGAAAGACCAAAACCCAACGACAATGACAGTATTCACTTTTATAGTGAAAGGTGTTACTTTCCTACTTCACAGCAAAGCTTGAAGCAGCAGGAAACTTATGTCTGTATTATTAATGTATTATAAATAAATATATACACCCACCTTCCTGCTAGAATCTTGTAGTACGCAAATATCTGATCAGCCAGTTTATAGACGAACTGGTCGAAGCACAAGTTCACCTGAAACAACGAAAGGTTTAAATCGACACTGGTCACGACAACACAACATTCATTAACCGTCAGAATAAATATCAGGAGAATTTTAATTTAGTGTCCTTAGATTTCAAGTCTGATCAGACACTTATTTAATAACGCAATGGGATCAAACGTTGTGGTTTGATGGGGCATTTCTTGTCGACAGTGATTGAACAGTTTGAAATGTGTGAAATCCTCGAGTTTAACAGCATGAGTTGGGTTTGTACTTTGGGGGAGGGGACGGATGGATTCAGCACAGCGATCCTCGTTGTTTGGGGTGGAATTACCTCAGCTTCTATTTCATCGTACAGGAACTGCTTCTTGAATTTGGTGAGCGCGTAGTGCGCGCTGTCGTTGTACAGATCCAGAGGATACAGCACGTACCTGCAGGGGAGGAAAGCAAGAGTTTCTCTCTCGAATGTTCAACCGGTACTGTACATACACACACACACTTGTTAGAATGTCCACATTACAACGTGACGTTGGATTAGACTCTTTTGGGGGGGGGGGGGGCCAGTTGAAGTAAAGCACTTATGATCCAAGCCGGTTGATGTGCTTAATGCTTTAATGTAAAACCTGCCTCGCTATTAGCAACATAATCCTGCAGGAAAGATGCAGAACTCACATGACAACATTTACAGTTAATCCTAATTTCTAGAATATTGAATAAAAAAAACAAAAAAAAAACAACTTTTAAATGGCAGTTTCCAGCGACCCGCACAGAGGACTCTACTTCTACTTGACTTACTCCGTAGACATTGTGAACATGGTCCACTGGCCGTTTTCCAGCAATCAACCAAACTGGAGGCTTCTTAACGTGCGCCAACAAACCGACGGGGACGTCCCGATGGACCGCGTCCACTGCTTATACTCAAGCGGTGGAGACGTCTGCCCAGAACAACCAAATGAAACACACTCACTCCATCATGGAGGCCTCCTTGGTCTCCAGGATGTGGTCCGTGAGGATCCAGGGCATGGACATCTCGATGGGGAACTGGATCCTGCGGCCCATCGTGAGTTCCAGGAAGAACTCCCTGAACCAGAGCTGAGAGAGATCGCAACACTGCTGCAAGGTCTCTGCGCGGAGGAAGAGGAGGAGGAGGACAGGATTCCTCTAGTGAGGTTACATCAGCATGCAAAACGTTTCACTTCATGATTCCTGTCAGACAACGAGCATGGGGACCCTATTCTGTCAGGACAACAACTCTTTCACTTTCTCATAGTAGTCAGAATGATTTATTACAACATGACATCACAGGAGACGTCACAGCTGCTTTGCTCACCACTGAAGTTCAGCAGGTGCGTGTAGAAGAAGGACTCGCGGTGGAAGCGCTCGATGTCCAGGATGGTGGGGCCTTCCAGGCCGCTGCGCAGAGTCTTCTTGGAGCCACTCTTGTCTGCGATGAGAGACTCCAGCATGGTCCTCACCATGTAGAGCTGCAGGGACGGGACAGCAGGACACGGCGGGTGAGTCACTGAAGGGTTTAACCTCCAGTCGACAGCGTTTAACACAAGCTGAAGGGATGCAAACGTTTAGTTCTCTGATATATAAACAGGTCAGTGAACGCCTCTCTGGTGAATCTTCCACGACGTCCTCACTAGGACACTAGTCCTCCTTTGGCCTCGTGGATCCTTTAAGGCTTAATGTGACCTTTTTAAACACCGGGGAAGTAAAGAGCAACGATTGAACAAAAGAATAAAAAGTCCTGACTCCTAATATCTTTAAAGTCAATAAAATTGCATTGAATAGAATGGAGGCGTTTTGTGCATCACAGCGAATCCTTTCCTTTCCTTTCGCTCACATACAGAGAGCAACACACTCTGACCCGCTTTCATGACCCCCGCTTGTTGATCGGGTGAGATGAAACACAGACGTTAGCGGTTAGCTTCATGGTTCTGCACCTGGAATACAGATTAGTTCTTGGAACGGAGCTCTAATCTGATAAATCGGTGCGGTTTATGCAATTTAAGGGATTCTAATAAAAAAAGAGGAGCCCTGGGATTTACAAGAGGCGCATTAAAGTTGACTTTCAGACGCCTTTAAACGCCCCCGTTATCAGGCGGGAACGAGCGGCGCGTAGCGAGCAGAGACCTGCGTGCTGGAGGGGCCGACTGCTCGCCGCGGGACCGTGATGTCAAAGCCGCCCTTTGGATCCTTTTCTCCGCGGAGCGCCGGGTCGTTGTGCGGCTCTCGGCCAGCCTCCCAGTCGCACACCGTCTTCCTGATGGCCTGCAGGACGCTGCACACAGATGGTTTACTCGTGTGGGGCGAGCAGTGCATTGGTGAAAGTACCTTCTGGTTGTACTAAAATAAACATTAAACTCCTTCCCCTAAAAAAGGACTCGGCTGAGCTGAGGCTCACGGTGCTGCTCTGCTTTCTGCAACTCCCCCGGTAGAGGTAGAGTCACTCAGTCCTACACGCTGCCCCTTGGAGAGAAGAAAAAAAGGCGGCGTTCGCTGGCGTACCTCTGGATGACGTTCTTCTTCTTCTTGATGGCCTGTCGCAGCGGGTCGCGCAGCGTCACCTGAGCGAAGTCCTGCAGAGCCGAGTAGATGGTGTGCCGGATGGCGTGGTTGAACACGCTCTCCATGCGCCCCATCAGCACCTGCAGGCCCTTTATCATCGCCATCACCTGCAGAGCAGCGCCGCGTTTAATCGGGGCGAACCGGCGGGTTTGGAATAAGCGACGGAGCGGAGCCGCCACTGACCTCCACCAAGGCGAACTTCTCCTCGCTGGTGTAGTTGTATCTGGTGGCTCTCTCGTACTCCTCGGCGTTGTCGGGACACTCCTTGTTGGAGTATTTGTCGGTCGGATGAACCAGTTTCCAGGAGTACTGGGAGGGATTTTAAAGCACCAACATCAAGAAGCAAGCAAGCAGATCCCCACGATGCTGCACAGCGTCTCCTAACTCCTCTGTCTCAACTGCGTGTTCTTCTCCCTCACCACTTCCATGACGTGAGCGCTCCACTGGGACAGCAGCTGGATGCCCTGCAGCGACAAGTCGAACAGCTTCCTGTACTCAGAGTCCGTCTTCTGGGCCTCCTGACGCCCCGACCCGGTCACCACCTACACACACACACACACACACACACACACACGCACACACACGCCGAAGCCTTAATGAGTGAAATGTAACTGCAGCAAAGAGGAACTGATGATTGAAGTGACTTTGTTCTCCACATTTCAATCTGATGTGTCAGTCACACGTCGGAGCCAAACCCAAATGTGACAAAGACGTTTCGTCACAGCTGAGACGTCTGATAACCACACGGAGCTTGTTACGTCTGTGGTGGGATGAACTTCATCTCCGTATTTATTCTGTTATAAGCGCTCATATGTGAGAGAAGTAGGGGTGGGAATCTCTTGGCACCTCACGATTCGATTTCGATTCAGAGGTCAACGATTCGATTCTAAACCGATTATCGATTCATCTCGATTTTCTAAATTTTCTCAAATCCGAGTTTGCTACTCAGAGGTTGCTAATCACTTCCTACTTTATTTGATAATTAAAGAAAATCAACAGATGAATTACCTTCTCTAATTTTTTATAAAGAGAAAAAAAAGTCTTTGTCA